CACTGCAGTGTGTGGGGTGTTCTATGCAGGGTCTCTATGGTTAGGGTGGGGGAGGGGCACTGCAGTGTGTGGGGTGTTCTATGCAGGGTCTCTATGGCTAGGGTGGGGGAGGGGCACTTCAGAGAGGGGGCGCACTAGGTGGGGTCTCTATGGTTAGGGTGGGGAGGGTCACTGCAGAGGGGGAGCCCTCTAGGCAGGGTCTCTGGTTAGGGTGGAGGAGGGGCACTTCAGAGTGGGGGTGCTGTAGGTGTGAAATACTGGTTTGCCCCAGGAGGGTTATCTCCCGTCTATCAGGAAGGCCTATTGAATCCAAACGGCCCACTGTAGGACATCACAGACCAGCAGTTCTCAACCAGGGATACATGTAAATAAATAACAATTAATGAGCTCAGGGCCTGATTCCCAGTTCAGTCCAAGGCCTGTCAGGACTTGGAGATTCTCGCCCTCTGCTAGGAGACTCAACACACTGCGCTCTGGATTCCTTCATCTCATTTCCCAGACCGTCCAAGCTAGCAAAGGTCTTTCAGCCCAGCTCTGGGTTTAGACTAAACTTTGCTTCCCTCTCCCGCACACCTGACGTCACTTCTCACTGTCCCGGGCTGTCTGGCCGTTTAAGGATGGATCTGCAAAGCAGAGAGTACAATTTTCATTAGTCCCGTCCCCGCCCCCCGGCCAGGTAAGGGGAAGGGCCCTGAACCAGGAATCGCTGCTGGGCTCTGCGTGGATGGGTTGGCCACATGGCAGTGAGGAGGTGGGAACAAGTCCCAGGAGCTGTGGACAGGCCAGAGCTGTGTGCTGTAAGTGCCAGACAGCCCAGCTGGGTGCAAGTCTGTGTGGAGTGTCTGGGGGAGGCGAGGGGCCCCGATGAGAGACGCTAACTGAGCCCCGCTTGGAAACCCACCAATGCCTATTTGCCTGGAACAGAGACTGGACTGGAGAGGACAGTTTTCGTAGCCCCCATCCTACCCTTTACCTCCCTGTGTGAACGTCCACCCGCGATCCTGCTGTGACCTATTCCAGGGGTGGGGGGGGAGGTGGCTTGTTCTGCGCTAACAGCTGTGATGAACTTGTAACCACAGAAAAACCCCAGTGGGGGGTTGAAGGACGGATCAGGGACCAGAGCCCTGCTGGAGCTGGGGGTGAGCTCTGGGAAGCTTATCAGCACAGGTTCTTCTATTGTTTTTAATATGTTTTCTTTGCCCTGCCTTCACCTTAAGGCTAAATGTGCTGGCTTAAAAACAGCTGGGGGCTAACTCATACCTGCAGGCAGTTACACTGGTTATAGCCTCGGAGGAGACAAGCAGTACAAGCCGGCTCAGGCAGTCTGGCTTGTGGGGGAATTCACAGCGTAGGCAGGGAATGGGGCAGCCTGGAAAAACCCCGATCAGGAGGGCCAGAGGCGCAGGTCTCCACCCAAGAGAGGGGATGGTTGGGGATCCTACAGCAGTTGCCCTTGCTAGACCACAGAGAGGGAACACGGTGAGAGCTGCAGCGCACGTTGTTGAAACATGGGGAAAAAGTGGCTTGTGCTGATTCAGTCCAGGCCAGGCAATTTTTCATTTAAATAAGGGACGTCCCGTATAATACAGAACAGGCGGCAACCCGGTAACGGCTCGTCTCTGAGTCGTGGTGCCCCTGGCCCAACACCGGCACCCTAGAGGTGTGGGGTAGTGGGCAGCCCCACTGATCAGGCTGCCTGTAGTGCAAGCCAGGGCTGTGATTGCAGCTGAAGCAGACACACCTCAGCTAGCTCGGGTCGCGGAGCAGCAAAGCCGCGGCAGCACACGCTGTGTGAGCCCCCACACGGCATCCTGGGTAATTACTGCCCGGGCTGGCCCACTCCCGTTAAAGCAGCTCGGATACGTCCAGGAGCTGCAGTGCCCCCGTGACTGAAGTACAGACGTACCCCGAGGGCGGAACCAGAGCGTCCACACAGGAAGCTATTGCCGGGTGGCTATTCTGCAATAGCTGTTCCGGGCTATTTCCCCAGACAGAGGAGCCCTCGGCTGACTTTCAGCCCCGATGAAGCACAGAGGACGCCGGGCAGCAGGCAGCATGATTAGCAAACAGCTGAAGCAATGCTGTAGGTGGGCCAGACGTGCGTCTCAAGCCTTTGCGAGGTACCAAACAGTACAGCGCCTGGCAAACTTCTGTAGTGTAGACAAGGCCTAAGATTTTCTGCTCACCACACGCTTATTTCCGTGCATGCGACCCAGCACTGACCCGTCCACCAGCCCTGAATTAATCCAAGGTCTTCTGTGAGTGACGAGGTTCGGAAACACAGACGCTCAATCCCAAAATATACATGTTTAGTGGAGTATAAAACAAGTCTGACAAGAGGAGAACACACAGGCTATTGAACATACGCGTTACAGTAGAGTCGCACTAACCTGTGTGAGCAGGTCAAGCAATTACCTTTTAAAGGTATAAACCATCAGCTATCGCCCGGTTTGCAGTGCTATTGCTTGAAATGACCTATTGAGGAGAGGACTGGCTGTCCCTCGTGGGTCAGGGAATGGCACATGAGGCCTTTCCTCTCTAAGTGCTGCAGTTCCCATCCGGCCCCAGGGCAGGGACTGGCTGGCTCATGGGGGCGGGGAATGGGACATGGGGCTGTCTCTTCTAGGGGGCTCTGGCTCCCATCTGGCCCCAGGGAAGGGACTGGCTGGCTCAGGATGCAGAGGGCGATATGATGCAGACTGAGGGACTCAAACCCATTTCCTAGGCGGGAAACCTACAGCATTAATAACGATACACATGGTGTTTCTATCAGCGACTGTCTTCTTGAGGT